CCAAGATTATCTTCTGTGTCTGTGTTAATTGGTTTCCCTTTTCTTTGTTGAAGAGGGTCTGTGCAATCCTTCTGCCTAGTCCGCCATCTTGCCCCGCCTTTTGTCTTTTTGTTTTTAAGTTGTTGAAGTTTTCTATAAATTTTAGAGGTTACCTCTATATTCTAATAGGTAGTTGTCAAAAAATTTTCCCAGTTGGTGGGTTCTTTTTCACTTTTGGTGAAATCTTTTAATGTGTATAAATGTCTAATTTTTAGGAGGTCCCAGTCATTTTTTTTTTTTTTTTTGTCTTCTGTTAGTTATTATTTAACCTACTTCTTTATTCTTCCCTTTGAAACTCAGGGTTCCAGAATTATGATCTGTATCTGTTTCAATTGTTTTCTTATTTCTTTGTTTTAGAGGGTGTAGGTAGCTTGTCTGTCTATTTGGCCAACTTGCTGAAAGTCTAACTTGTTATTTTTTATTCTGATTTGAGTGAAAGTTTACAGAGCAAATTGGTTTCCTTCATTATAATTCTTATAAAGTCTTTTTTTTTAAAAAATCATATTTTGTATTAGTGTTTTCCTATTAGTTTTATTCCTCTACTGGAGCTTCTATATTTTTCTTGGCCTTCCCAGAGAAAAAGCCAAATTTTGATCTTTCACTTGATTTTTTCATGATTGGTGTATGATTCTCACAGAACCTGAATTTAGAGTAGAAAATACCTGCGAAGGAAACATTTTATATTAAGAGTGAAGGCTAAATATGTACTTCATTTCTTCATTTTTGTGGGCTTACCACCCTCCCCACACACCTTCTAAATTCTTTTGCTGTCATCTTAATGGTTTATTGAAGGAACTGAAGCTAAAATGTGAATTTTCTTTTTTCTTCTTTAACAAGAAATGAAATGAATGTTCTTTTCCTAAGAATTAGGACGAAGTTGGAAAATCTTTCTTCTTCTTCCTTTTATATGATATTTTTAGAAATATCTGTCAATGAATTACTTACTTTCTGATATTAATTCTTTAAATTGAAAGCAAGGTATTGTGTTTTTAGGCACCTTAGTCTTACAGAAAATTTTAAATTGGAAGTCAAGAAATGAAAACTGTTTTGGTCCATAATAATAATAATTTATTATTTATGGAAGTAGTCTGAGTTTTTGTCTCTAAATTTTTCTTTATGCTTACAGTTTTTTCAGATACCAAGTTAGCTGAATTTTTTCTAAGTGGCTATATTAGTTTTGAATTGTTACATAACAAATGATCACAAATTTAGTGGATCAAGAGAGCACACATTTGTTCATTCACAGTTCTGTAGGTCAGACGTCTGGGTGGACTTGACTTGGTTCTTTGCGTCATTCTTACAAGATCAAAATCAAGGGGTTAGCTGAGCTGAGCTCTTATCTGGATGCTCTAGGAGTACATCCATTTCTAAACTCATTCTGGTTGTTTGCAGAATACTGTCCCTTCTAGTATAGCACTAAGCCCCTTGGTTCCTTTCTGGCTGTCAGCTGAGGACCTCTTTCAACTCCTTAAGGTTGCCCTCATACCTCTCACACGACCCCTTTCCTCTTTACATCAGCAGTTGGGTGTCCCTTTCGCATTTTGAATCTCATTCACATTCCCTTCTGCTACCAGCTGGAAATAACTCTGCTTTTAAAGGGCTGCTGTGATTAGATTAGTTCCACCTAGATAATCTCCTTTTTGCCATGTAATATAACATAAACAAGGGAGTAGCACCAGGGGTCCAATGTCATGGCAACCATATTAAAATTCTGCCTAACTAACACAGGTGCCAAGAATATACTTGGCAAATGATGCACAAATTGACTGTGTACACAGAGTTATGTAGCTAAGCATTATATATAATTAAAATGAATTTTTTTTTTTTTTTTGCTTTTTAGAACAATTCTACTCTTTTTGAAACTTACGATGTTAAACTCATTAAAAAGGATGGACAGAATCTTGGGATTAGAATTGTTGGCTATGTTGGAAATTCTCATACAGGTAAATGAATCATTTTTATATTTGGAAGTAATTGTAAGGGATGTTAAGGTTTCTAGACATTAAAATGAAATACCTGCAGATTTTAATTTCAACATTAAACAATAAAACTGTGAATCTATAATAGCAATCAGTTATTTTTCAGTGATTAATACAATTTTATATGATTTTATCTTAGTAGTTTTATAGCTGGCTTGATAGTCATCAACAAAAAAATTTAATTGTCCAGTTTAGTATATAACATTTGAATTGTACCTCCTCTTTTTTCTGAAGTGGATATATTTTTAGTTTTGTGACTGTTACTTATTATGTTATAAATGTAATAAAATAAAATGATTACTGCATATATTTCATTTTGTGACTATCAAGAAAGTATTGCTATTACACTTAATTACTAAGATAAAAAACAATTTTTTTGTTATTAGAGTTATTTTTCTTTCATGTAAAGAGAATATGTTATGACAATAAACATGGCCTAAGTATCTCTGAATAATACTCCCTCAATTCCTATATGTAAAGATTTACAGATTTTCCCTTTAAGAGTTGCTCTGCTGTAACGATCATTAGGGTAAGGAAAAATAAACCTTTTCTCACAAATATTTGCTAGGAACATGAAAATTCAGTTATGAAATGTTCTAGTTATTCTTTAAATAACAAGACTAGAGAATTAATTTCTTTAAAAAAATTATCTTGCATACTTAAAGCAGGTGGAAAAATTAAGAGTGCTAATGTATTCAAAGTCCTGAATGAAATTCATGTCAGACCTCTTTGTGCTATTTTAACCTAATGAAATATCTGTTTTCAAATCTTTAGATTCTTCCAAGTGCCACCCTTTTTAGGTTGAGAATTTAAATGAGTTCCAAAAGAGCTAAGTATGGATTGTATAATAATGTTGCAAAAAACCATATTAAATAACTTCTCAATATGTTAAATTTGGTTAGAAGAATCCTGGCATAGTTCCTTTTGAACCTTTATATATTAAGCTTTTAGGGTGTTCCTGTAAGCTTAGAATTGAAAATGTAGAGGAAAATGGAAATGAATAACTGAATAAAAAAAAATTATTTTTGTTACCAAATATAAATGTTTATGTTACTTCTTTATCTCAAAAGAAGTTTTTGGCATGAGGAGGGTGGTGAATCTGAAAACTAGAACATAAAACTCAACATGCTTTTTAACATGGAGTCTTTAAAAGTAATTTTCCCTTGTTCCATTCATTGTACTTTTGATGGGTTACTTTGCTTAAGAAAATCTGTTCATGGGGATAAACATGTAAACAAGTCTAAGTTGTTTAAAGCAAAACAAAATAGATGTTTTGGCACAGATATAAACAACTATCATGGTAAAGCAGAAGAAAGGCAGTTTGATGGAGGGAAATGAATTCACAAAAAAGGAGATATTTGAGGTAGGGTTGGAAAAGAAGAAGGATTTTGATAGAAGGGATGAGGATAACAGGAAGAAAGAATGAAATGAGAACAGACATAAAATAATTCAAATATTTGGTGTTTTGATAGAATATCAAAAGTCTAATGTATCTGGTCTTCTGTCTTTTTCAAAGGTTATAGTAGAAGATGAAGTGTGAAAGGCAGTTTGGGGTAGATTATGGAACACCGTGAATTCATGTCTATGAAATTTACATTTCATTATGTAGGCCGTCCAAAAAAAAAAAAAAGCCCAAACTTACTTCTGTCAAGTCAATTTCAACTCACAGTGAACCCTCCTTGAGTTTCTGAGTTGGTATCACTGTGGAAGTAGATTGCCCAGTCTTCCTTCAGAGGAGTGGCTGATGAGTTTGGACCACCAGCCTTCTGATTAGCAGTCAAATGCTTTAGGCAGTGGGAAACCATTGTTTATTTTTATTCTACAGATGGTATTTTAAGTTCATTTAAAATTAAAAAATAAAAATGTAATATCATCAAGATCTAGAGTTTTTTAACTTTCCAATTTTCTTTCTAGTTCTTGCCAATAGGTAGGCATGCTTTTTACATAATTATAATTTGCATATAGCTATTGTTTCTGTTTGAATGTTTTATTTTAGAATATGAGGATTATTTCATGTGGCTGAATTTATTCTAGTTTTTTCAAGGCTGTGTGTACTTTCCCTTTTTCTGTGTTTGGGGAAGCTTACATGAGCATGAGTCTTGAACTAAATATGGGCAGGAAGACCTGTAAGGAGACCCATATCCTAGGGCTGGTGAACAGTGATGAAGGCTTTTGCCAAGTCAGCATTGAGAATGGAAATAGATCAAAAAAAGAGGATCTGACTTAGCCTGGGTTCTCCTGAATTCCAGCATGGACTGGAGTGCATTTAATCAAGGTTCAGTTACTGATTAATTTTTCGAAATAGTCATTGGTCAAATCATTTTGAATTCTGGTCACTTGCAATGTTCACAGTTTGAAACAATCCATCAATTTCTCTGCTTGTGTTCAAAATAGTATTTATAAAGCCTCCAGTCAGCCCATTTAGCTAATTAACCTCTTGATATGAATTTTGCAATCAAGATCTAATTAGAGCTTTCTTCTTATTTTTCCATATGTCTTGTGCACCATCAGGGGAAGCTTCAGGCATTTATGTGAAAAGTGTAATACCTGGTAGTGCTGCATACCACAATGGCCAAATTCAAGTGAATGACAAAATTGTTGCTGTAAGTAGCTGACCTCTGTTTCAGAATTGAATCAAGTAAACAAAACTAAAGTTGATCTTTATTATAATATGTATGAGGGAAATGGTTTAATATATTTTTATTTTTAATTTTTTTCCTTATTTTTTTTTATGTGAGTTAGGTGAAAATTTACAGAGCAAATTCACTTTCCATACAGCAGTTCACATACACTTTGTCTCATGACATTGATCACAATTCACCACAGTGCAACAGCTCCTCTCCTACTTCCTCCTGACAGTCACCTCTTCCCTGTGTCCATCCCTCCCTGCACCCCTGCCTCCTGAGCTGTCTCTCTGGGCATAAACAGCCCTTCTTTCTCCCATGATTGTTCTCTCCAACGAGTGTATCTATCTTAGGTAAAAGTTCAACTCATTTGTTTGGCGGGGAGCCACAGGTGGGGGTTCAATTCCAGACCTGATGGGCAGCTAGGGGCCATAGTCTCAGTGGTTCCACCAGGCTCTATCAGACCAGCAAACCTGGTCCCCCCCTTTTTTTTTTTCCTCCAAATGATTTTGAGTTTTGTTCCACATTCTTCTCACTCTATCCAGGATCTCCTACATAGATCCCTGCCCACCCCCCCAAGTGGTTGACAGTGGTAGTTGGGCACCTTAATATATTTTTTATAAGTTTTGTTTTTAAAAAATTAACTTCATTAGTACAGTGAAATATTAATTTGGACTCTGCCAGTTGCCATTGACTTGATTCTGACTCATGGTAATCCCATGTGTGTTAGAATAGAGTTGTGCACCATAGAGTTTTCAATGACTTCTTTTTCAGAAGTAGATTGTCAGGCCTTTTTCTGAGGCACCTCTGGGTGGAATTGAACTGCCAACCTGTCAGTTACCAACTGAGAACATTGCTTGTTTACAGCACCCAGAAACTCTAGTTTGGACTGTAATGAGCCTAAATTTGATTTTTTTTTTTTTTTTTTTAATTCTAAATGAAGAAGAGTTTCACTAACCATATTTTATGGGGGAAAATATGTGTATATACAATATATATGGCAGCTCTAGTGGTGTAGTGCCTAAGGCATTTGACTGCTAACCAGAAGGCTGGCAATTCAAACTGACCAGGCACTCCTCGGAAGATGGGGCAATCTACTTCCTTAGTGATACTGCCTTGGAAACCCAAGAAGGGGTTGCTGTGAGTCAGGTCTGACCCGACGGCAGTGCGTTTGGTTTTGGTTTTTTGATTTATACAATATATATAGATGTATATTTGAAAGATGCTCTAGTATTTTTCCAGAAAACAGTTTTCAAGCATCTCTGTGTTTTTAAAAATCACCCACTTTATGTGCAATTGGTATGCTCTTTGAATCTTTTAATAAAAAATAGTTTTTGTAATAGTAATTTACATATATCTAAAATTAGAGTATTTTATCCAGTTGAGAGTCTAATAATTACCTTTTCTTGATTCCGATTAATCTTTTCCCTATTTAGTAGCAATTAGGTCCATTTTAAAGTTTATTTGAGTGATATTTTTGAGAGATATATATCTATGTAATTATCTTAAGAGCTGGACTACTAACTAAAAGATTGGCTGTTTGAAAGCATCCAGAGTTGCCTTGGAAGAAAGGCCTGGCTACCTGCTTCCAAAAAGTCACAGCCCTGAGAACCTGATCTAGTGCAGTTCTCCCCTGAAACACATGAGGTCACTATGAGTCACAATTGACTCGATGACAACTTTTTTTTTTTTTTTTTAATTTATCCATTTATCTATAATTTAATGATTTACATAGAAAAAATGTTTGGTAGCATGATTTGAATCTTTGTCCTCAGGAAGCATCTCCTGGCTTTTATAGTAATGGACTTAGGAAATGTCTTTTGGTGATTTGTAGGGTCTTGTTAAGTGCTGTAGAGTCAGCTCCGACTCACAGTGACCCTGTATACAACAGAATGAAACCCTGTGGAGTTTAGAGTGCTGCAATAGCAGTGAAAGCTAAAGTATTTGTCTAGCTTGAAGAAGATTGAAAAAAGAGACCTGTTGGTCCTGATGACTTCAGAAAGGTGGAATTGGGCTTCACTTAGATTCCTAGAATATCTTTCTTAGAGATGGTTTTTCAGAACACTAGATCAAATTGAGGGAGATCAATGTATTTCTTCTGGAAAATGTCACATGGTAGTGTGATAGAAAGAGGAAGCATTTGGTGACCTCTTCATTTTGATAATAATAAACCAAACCAAATGCCAAACCCATTGTTCACTGAGTCAGAATCACCCCTGTGTGTTACAGAGCAGACCTGCTCCCTACGGTTTTCTTGGCTATAATCTTTACAGAGAAGAGCTCTAGTGGTGCAGTGGTTAAGTGCTTGGCTGCTAGCTGAAAGGTTGGTGGTTAGAACCAACTAGCTGCTCTAAGATTGAAAGAGGTGCAGTCTACTATAGCCTTATAGAGTATAGCCTTAGAGACCCTGTGGGACCTTTCTACTTTGTCCCACAGGTCACTCTAAGTTGAAATCGACTCAACAGCAACAAGTTAGGTTTCAGATAATCTTTATGGAAACCAGGCCTTTGTAGCTGAGAGGAAATCTTCTGTGCCACCCAGGGATGTTTGATGATGATAATAGCTTCCTTCTATTAATACATCTTAAGTACTATATGTAGAAATTAACCATCTTTTAAGACACTGTGTGTGACTCTTGAATAGTATCAGAGAATGAGACCCTTTATCTCTCTCTGGTTCTTAGTTAAAATGTGTGACATAGGAGTATAGATTTGAATTTGCTTTCTGCTTTATCCGGAAACTTTCAGCATATTTTAACTAGTAGTTTTATATTCTTATTAAAAAATACTTTCTAAAATCTAATACAAATGATTTAGGAAATAAAATGAATTGCCTAATTTTATGCTGCCTTGCCAGAATTAAAAAGGATAACTTGAAATCTCTGTTTCTTAATGTATCTCTAAATGTTTTAGGTTGATGGTATGAATATTCAAGGTTTTAGCAACCAAGATGTTGTTGAAGTATTACAAAATACAGGGCAGATGGTACATCTAACCCTAGTTCGAAGGAAGACATCCTTATCTGAGTCTCCACTTGACCAGCCTTCAGACAAAGGTAATTCTTCCCTTCTCCCCCATGTACCCTGGAAAGTAAGGAATAGCTCATTTATGTAGTTGCTCTGTGAGTCTGAGTAGGAAAAATTGCCTAGTTGTGTCATTTAGTGATAGAGAAATGAATCATCTCATGTGTGTGTTGAGGAAAAGTTTCCTTTGGCATCTTGAATGCCAGTCCCAGTGTTAGAACACAAACCCTTACATGCACTAAACTCTGAGAGCTTCTCTGGATGGACATGGAATTAATTTTCTCAAAAACCTTCTGAATTTCTTTTAATAGTTATATTTTAATAATAAATCTTTGGCACCTTTTCTTCCAGGAGCACTCATTTGTCTGGTTCTTTGGAATTTGGCAAATTCAGGTTTTATATTACTTTTAATGATGTATTTTATTCTAATCTGTTGATTTACTTTTGAAATACAGCAAGATAAAATAAAATATGGATTTTGCTGGGGTTACTATGAAGAACATTTAAGAAAATATTCATTTTATTTTAGTGATAAGAATAGAAAATCTTCTGTATAGAGTGACTACATGACTGTGCATGTCAATTTTTAATTATCAACTTATTATCAACAAAAATTGACAATCATGGAAACACATATTCAGTTTAAAATGTTATATAATTAAAAACAACTCAAAAAAAAAACAAACCTAAACTCACTGCCATTGACTCAATTCTGATTCATATTGACCCCCACTGGGTTTCCAGGCTTTAAATCTTTACAGAAGCAGACTGCCTCATCTTTCTTCCATAGAGTAACTGGTGGGTTTGAACCACTGACCTTTTGGTTAACAGCCAAATGCCTTAACCACTATATCACCAGAGCTCCTACTTATATAATTAACCACAGAGACCAAAGTCATTGCCACTGAGTTGATTCCGACCGCGTTTAGGTTCCTGAGGTAGTAAATCTTTATGGAAATAGATTTGCCTTCTTTCTTCCTTCCAAAGTTATATAATTAGTGAATGAGAAATACTCAATTAAAATTTGTTAGAAGATGAGTTTAAGAGTTTTGTTTTCTCTGGGGATATTCCTCTGAGGATATAAGCCTGGAAGTCTCTCCTTCCAACTGTTATTGATTATATTTAAATTGGAACTTTCAAAATTTTATGTGATAATGGAAATTTTGCTATTGAAAGACAGATACCCTGTTGGCTGCATTTTATGTATGATACTTGAAATTGCCTAAATGAGACAAATTGTGTAAATGCCACATAGACCTTAAAAAGTTTATATAAATATTTATATAAATATAATGGTTTATAAAAGATCTGATAGAGCCCTCAGCTTCAGTCTATGATATCAAATGAAGTACCTCATCTGCAAATTAGCATTTCTTTACTGGGCATGTTTATGTTTTAAAGTTGTATCAGGATAAAAAAATCTATACCTGTTCTTCCATTGTTTGAGTGTCCTTCCTATGTGGTTGCTAGCACCCTCTGAAGAATATTCCCCCATAGCATTTATAAAGCATGCTGCATTTCAATCATACTATGTCATATGTGGCTGCTATAATCTAGGGTCATGGCTATGCCTCTTGCCCCCTTCCCTAGGTGACACGTCTTTGTGTGCCTTTTATGTACAAGTATTTAAAGATTGTTTTACTGAAACAATTACAGAACTTTAGCTCTTGCACAATATCTCCCTCTACCATTCTAAATCTTAGTCTATACTCCTGCAGATTGTAGACCATGTTTTGGCACACAATCACATCATGTATTGTTTTGTATTGCAAACTGTTTCCTGTGTAGCTATTCTCCCCAGTTACTACACTGGCAGCTGGTGGGCACTTCTTACACTAGCACAAAGCTATGCATCTAGTGGGTATCAATACATGGATATGCTAAAAAAAATCCTATTTTTGGTTTAAAACCATGTTATGGTTATAGGTACTTTTAACTGGTTATAGTTTTCCACTTTTATTGTAAAAAATTCCAAACATACAGAAACATAGAAAAATAATATAATAAATACCCACAAGTCCACCATTTAGAATCTGTAGTCAACATTTTGCATTATTTTCTTCAACTCTTTATGTTGTTTTCCTGAACCATTTCAGAGTGAGTAGTAGACATCATGACACTGTACCCCTACAAATTTCAGCCTGTATCTTCTAAAGATAAGGATATAAGTACATAACCACAATACTATTATCATACTGAAGAAAATTAATAGTAACTCTGTATTTCTCCAATTGCCCCAGTATTATGAATTTTATAACTTCACCCCCCACATTCCCGCCAAAAGTCGCCAAGATCCAATTGTGTATTATACGTACTATGTTTATTTTTTTGTTCTTTAATCTAGTTCATTTGTCACTAGAATGCCATAATCTGAATTTGATTGTTTCCTTGTGGTGTCATTTAACTTGTTCCACTATCCTCTTTGTTTCCTCTAGCTGGGAGCTCAGGTTAACTGTTTTTGGTAAGAATGCTTTATAAGTGATGTCTGATTATTTGGAAAATAAAAGTGCTTTATTTATTTTTTTTTTTTTTTAAATAAAGTGCTGTTTTTTAAAATTTTTCTTGCATTTAAGGGATAATAATGACTTGCGTATATTAAAACAAAATCTTACACAAAACTAATATGCAAAACTCAAAAGCTTCACTTAGAGATTTGCAAATCTGGAAGCATCTTTCCTGAAAGTTGGCCTGGAGCTTCTGGGGAGCAAAAGAAAAAGGTCCAAGTTGTATAGTAACAAGCATATAGAAAACTTCAGCTCCTTGGCTTGGACTTAAGCAACTTTTGTAAAGGTTTACCTGCTTTTTGTTAAAAACGGGAAGCTGGTGAGGTCCTGACAAATAAATAGGAAATCAGTGAACAGGAAGTTGGTGGGGTCCTGACAACAAGAACCTGAGAGACTTTATTTGGTTTTGACTGGTTTGTCAATGTGGGTTAAGTGTGAGTGACTCTATTTTGGTTTAATTATTTAGATTATCTCATGATTGAGATTAAAAATTTTGGATAACTCCTATTACTTCACTTAGCTGAATTAAGTAAGCAAACAATCTCCATGTGTACCCAGAGCAATTTTTCTCCAACTCCCTTCCAGTTAATAAGGATACATAAGTAGACCTGTTTGTTATACTCCTGGTGAACTCATGCCAGAACCTAGGAGAGACCAGAACACTCTGACTGACTGATTCCACATGTCCTAGCTCCTGTCCCTCCACAGTGAAGGGGCAAAAAGACTTTCACATTCTTTTTCATTTCCAAGGCTATCTTGAAAAGATTCTTCTCCAGTTTTTTTTTTTAAATTTTATTTTGATTTGGGTGAAGATTTACAGAGTAAATTCACTTTTCATACAGCAGTTCACATATACTTTGTCTTATGTCATTGACCAAAAT